TCTGAAGATCTTCTCACTATATATGTTGGGGTGTGGAAGGGACCAGGTGCCATGAAAAGGGGAGGAAAGACTTCACTGTCATTTAGAAGTAGGCCTCTTTTCATGGTTTCCTTTTTACCCCTGTCTTCTCAGGACTGCACTTCTCCATGAGAAGAAGCCAGAGGAGGACTCATAAGTTGAAATTCTAAGCCATGCCTTGTGTAAGTTCAAATTTCTTCTTCCTCTTATTGTTTTTTGGGATATGTTTTTTGGGATATGAATATTCAGTATTATTATTCTGAATTATTATTGTTTTTTGGGATATGAATATTCAGTATCCTTATCTCCAGACTGCTTCACCGAGTGTTTGCTGTCCTGCTCACTCCCCTTCTAATGAATGATGGGAAGGAGTCGCAGGTCTTTCTCAACTGCCCCCCTCTTCTCTAACAGTATTTTAGGGATCCATTTGCAAATCAGGAAATGTATTTGAGGAAAGCATAGACCCTCTCCTTTCAGGATGTGGCTTGATGAGATGGTACTACACATGAAAAATCTGGTCTTTCTCATTGACCTGGATGTCCTTAATGATTAAGATGAAAATTGGTGTTAGTCTCAGAATGTGGTGAGCTCTGATCTGTGATTTTAGGATTGGAAATGTGATCAAATGCAGGATTGAGGACAGAGAGAGAATTGTGTCAGGGAATACCTCAGAGATTAATACCAGTGACCGTCCATTTTGAAATTGAATAATATGTAGAAGCCAAGGGCGACATTTGTGTGAGTATAGCTCATCTTTTATTAGCTTTCTGTTGCTCATAATAAGCAAAAGTGTACAGTGAGCAGTGATAAGTGGTAAATATGATCAGCCACATTATTAAATGGTTGAGAGTTTCAGAAACAGCTGTGAAGAACATTAGAGGAGGAGTGCAAACTACTGAAAAATAAGAAAATGATGATAATCTTAATATGGAATATTATGTAGGCTATAAAACTGTTATCTATGAAAGGATTTTCCTGCACTAGGAAGACAGAATATTATTATGAAATTTTTCTGAAACTTGACTTGGAAAGAAATTCTGAAATTATATGTAAATCTCATTTTCTAAGGTAAATATTTTAAAAGACATTTTGGAATGTACCCATCAGGTTTATTTTTTCTTTTCTCTCCCTCCTCCTCTCCTTCTAGCCCTCTCTTTTCCCCTCTCTTCTTTTCTTTTCAGTTCTTTAAAGGGAAAGGAGAAGAAGGAACTTTGAGTTTATTTGAGGATTTGCATGTGTTAGCACACATTATTCTATTTAATTAGAAAACTGCTTATGGGGCACCTGGGTGGCTCAGTCGGGTAAGCGTTCCACTTCAGCTCAGGTCATGATCTCATGGTTCATGGGTTCAAGCCCCACGTTGGGCTCTATGCTGACAGCTCAGAACCTGGAGCCTGTTTCAGATTCTGTGTCTCCCTCTCTCCCTGCCCCTCCCCCACTCGTGCTCTGTCTTTCTCTGTCTCAAAAATTAAATAAATAAAAAAAAAGAGGTCAGGGGCAAGATGGCAGAGAAGTAAGGAGTTCTGTACTTGCACTCGCACCCATACCTCACACGGAAAAGATCTGAAGCCATTGGAAACCTTACGAAACCTGAGAGATTGGGAGAAAAAGGATTCAGAATCCACTGAGAAAGCCTTCCAACGTGAGTGCGAACTGGGGAAGATAAAATCAGGCCGGGATTGGAGACTTCAGGGTCGGAGGCTATCCCCCTCTGCGGGGAGTGAGAGGGGAAAAAGAGAGTCCGAAATAGAAAAACCTCCGCTCGGGGCATAGAAAGACCGTGCTTGCCAAATACCTGCACGCCAGGTCCCCTCACTCCCAACTGGTCCCGGAGGGGCTGCGCGCACATACTGCTTCTTTGTGCTGGCTCCTGGCTGGCTGCACTTCTAGAGTAGCGGCGCGGCTGCCGCCATTGTCCTCCCGGCGGGCTTGGGCCCCTGGAAGAGCTGCGTGCGGACACCAGGCGTCCACGCTCCTGGCTGGCTGGAACTCCAGAGGGAAGGCAAAGAGCTAAAAACTGGGAGATTTGCCCGCGAGTTCGTGTTTCGGGTGACGAGACATAAACCTGGTTTTTCTCACTCCATTGGGCTCCCTGCACCCGGCAGGCAAGCCCCGCCCATGCTCGCCAGCCGGAGCCAGAGAAGGAAGCAGCAATTCTGACTCCACCCCCAGAGCTTGGCAGGAGGCCTGGAACTGCCCCCAGGGGGTTGCCTGGGAAGTTGTGTCTAAGGCAATTTCAGCGGGGCGCGCGGACTGGGACTTGGAGATTGGAACTGGCCTGGATTGAAGACTGCAACCAACTTTGGCTGCGCCCCTGGTACGGGGAGTTTACACGCCCAAAAAAGCGAGGTGCAGCGCTTGGTTCAAGAAGGGACTGGAGCACCGCCACTCTCCTCCCCACAACCGCCAAGGCAGAGCTCCCGCCTGAGGCATTGGATCCCGCCACACCCATCCCTGCTTGAGAGCTGCCCTCCTCCCTTTTTTTTTCTCTTTTCTTTCTTTTTTCCCCAGAACACTGACCTGATTAACTCTGGTCATCGGCCTGCTTAAACAATCACAACGAGTCCATTCTGTAGATGTAAATTCTACGCCTACTGACATTTTCATCTCTTTCTCTCAGGAGTAATTAGACTATATAGTTTCTCTGGATAACACCAGCTTCCTTCTCTCACCTATCCAACCATATTCTACCCTTTACCTCTTTGAAAAAAGCTTCTTATCCCTTCTGCCTGTTCATTCTATTTCCAATTTTGCCTAATCCCCGCCCTGTCTTCTTTCTCTTTCTCTATGCTCTCCAACCAACACTGCATACACCCGGCTATTTAACTGTAGCTGGGAAATCCGGTTATATGCTTTAAACCGTTCTTTGTCCATCGGTTTTCTTCTTTTTTCCTTTTCTTTTCTCCTTTTTGACCCTTTTATGTATTTCATACTCTCTATTATTCGCCCTCCCTTCTCCGTCTTTTCTCTTAACTTTTTCGTTTTCCCTCTCAGTTTGCATGTTAGTTGAATTAACCTGTGTGTTTGTGTGCTCCTGCTCCCTGTGTGTTTGTTTTCTTTTTGCCTGTCTGTTCTCTTTTCCAGGGCTACCTCAAGAAACAAGCCAGAGCACACAAGGTGGAGAGTCCCAAATATCACTACGAATAGGAAAATAAAATAACCAAGGTCCCAACAAGAGAGACCAAGAGATACCATTCAAAAAACACTCTCTGAAAGGATAGGCCCTGGACAGTCTAAGAGTCTTCTTGGATATAGCAGCGCTCATAGGTGCAGAGAGCATAACAGGTCCCTAAAACTAACAAGAGCAGGAAAGCTAACTAAAATGATGAAACGAAAGACCTCTCCTCCAAAGAAACTCCAAGAAGAAATGACAGGTAATGAACTGCTCAAAACAGATATAAGCAGCATTTTATAATGCAGATATAAGCAGAACAAGATTTTAGAATAATAATGGTAAAATTAATAGCTGGGCTTGAAAAAAGCATAGGGGACATCAAAGAAACTATGGCTACAGACAGAATGGAAAATAAAAATAGGCATGAAGAATTAAAAAATGCGATAAATGAGATTCATAATAAACTAGAGGCCTCTAATGCACGGATTGAAGAGGCAGAAAGGAGAATAAGTGATTTAGAAGACGCCATTATAGAAAAACAAGAAGCTGACCAAAAAAGAGACAAACTGATCCAGGAACATGAAAGAAGAGTTCGAGAGCTCAGCAGTATGGTCAAGCACAACAATATCCGTATCCTAGGAATCCCAGAAGAGGAAGAGAGAGGGAAAGGTGCTGAAGGAGTCTTGGAACAAATTATAGCAGAGAACTTCCCCGACCTGGGGAAGGAAGTCAATGTTGAAATATAAGAGGCTCAGAGGACTCCCCTCAGATGTAACTTGAATCGATCTTCTGCACGGCATATCATAGTAAAAATGGCAAAATACAAGGACAAAGAGAGAATTTTGAAAGCAGCTAGGGAGAAAAGGGCCCTAACATACAAAGGGAAACCTATCAGAGTGGTGACAGACCTATCTGCTGAAACTTGGCAGGCCAGAAAGGAATGGCAGGAGATCTTCAATGTGATGAACAGTAAAAATATGCAGCCAAGAATCCTCTACCTAGCACGCCTGTCATTCAAAATAGAAGGAGAGATAAAAACTTTTCCAAGTAAACAGAAATTGAAAGAACTTGTCACCACTAAGCCAGCCCTACAAGAAATCCTGAGGGGGATGCTCTGAAGGAAAGGTTGCAAGGAACAAAGATACCAGAGACACCACCACAAACATGAACCCTACAAAAGATACAAAGACTCTAAACCCACATATTTCAATAATAACACTGAATGTAAATGGGCTGAATGCTCCAATCAAAAGACATAGGGTAGCAGAATGGATTAAAAAACAAAATCCATCAATATGCTGTCTACAAGAAACTCATTTTAGACGGGAAGATACCTTCAGATTAAAAGTAAGGGGATGGAGAAATATATATCATGCTACAGGAAATCAAAAGAAAGCCGGAGTAGCGATACTTATATCAGACAAACTGGACTTTAAATTAAAGACAATCACAAGAGATGAAGAAGGGCACTACATAATAATTACAGGGTCCATCCATCAGGAAGAACTAACAATCATAAATGTCTACGCACCGAATATGGGAGCACCTAAATATCTAAAACAATTAATCACAAACAGAAACAAGCTTATAGATAAGAATGTGCTAATAGCAGGGGACTTTAATACTCCGCTTACAGCAATGGATAGGTCAACCAGACAGAAAATCACTAAAGAAATAATGGACTTGAAAGACACATTGGACCAGATGGATCTGACGGATATATTTAGAACTTTACATCCTGAGGCCAGGGAATTTACTTTCTTCTCAAGTGCGCATGGCACATTCTCCAAGATAGATCACATACTGGGACATAAAGCAGCCCTCAATAAATATAAAAGAATAGAGATCATACCATGCACACTGTCAGATCACAATGCTTTGAAACTTGAAATCAATTACAGGAAGAAGTCTGGAAAACCGCCAAAAACATGGAGGTTAAAGAACACCCTTCTAAAGAATGAATGGGCCAATCAGGCAATTAGAGAGGAAATTAAAAAATATATGGAAACAAATGAAAATGAAAACACAACAATTCAAAATCTATGGGATGCGGCCAAGGCAGTCCTAAGAGGAAAGTACATTGCTCTCCAGGCCTATTTCAAGAGATTAGAAAAAGCACAAGTCCAAAATCTAACAGCTCACCTAAAGGAGCTAGAGGCAGAGCAACAAGAACGCCCTAAACCCAGTAGAAGAAGAGAAATAGTAAAAATTAGAGCAGAAATAAACAACATAGAGACCAAAGAAACAATTGAACAGATCAATGAAACCAAGAGTTGGTTTTTTGAAAAAGTAAACAAAATTGACAAACCTCTAGCCAGGCTTATCAAAAAGAAAAGAGAGAGCACCCAAATAGACAAAATTATGAATGAAAATGGACTTATTACAACCAACCCCTCAGAAATACAAGCAATTATCAGGGAATACTATGAAAAATTATATGCCAACAAATTGGACAACTTAGAAGAAATGGACAAATTCCTAAACACACACTCACTACCAAAATTCACACGGGAAGAAATAGAAAACCTGAACAGACCCATAACGAGTGAAGAAATCGAATCAGTGATCAAAAATCTCCCAACAAATAAGAGCCCTGGACCTGATGGTTTCCCTGGGGAATTCTACCAGACATTTAAAACAGAATTAATCCCAATTCTTCTCAAGCTATTCCAAAAAATAGAAGTCGAAGGAAAACTCCCGGACTCATTTTATGAAGCCAGCATCACTCTGATTCCCAAGCCAGACAGAGATCCAACAAAAAAAGAGAACTATAGGCCAATATCCTTGATGAATACGGATGCAAAAATTCTCAACAAGATCCTTGCAAATCGAATCCAGCAGCATATCAAAAGAATCATCCACCAAGATCAAGTGGGATTCATTCCTGGGTTACAGGGCTGGTTCAACATTCGCAAATCAATCAATGTGATCCATCATATCAATAAAAGAAAAGATAAAAACCATATGATCCTGTCAATAGATGCAGAAAAAGCATTTGACAAAATACAGCATCCCTTCTTAATAAAGACTCTCGAGAAAGTTGGGATAGAAGGAACCTACTTAAACATCATCAAAGCCATCTATGAGAAGCCTTCAGCTAACATCATCCTCAACGGGGAAAAACTGAGAGCTTTCCCCCTGAGATCAGGAACACGACAGGGATGTCCACTCTCACCACTGTTGTTTAACATAGTGCTGGAAGTCCTAGCATCAGCCATCAGACAACAAAAGGAAATCAAAGGCATCAGAATTGGCAAAGAGGAAGTCAAACTTTCACTCTTCGCAGATGACATGATACTCTACATAGAAAACCCGACAGACTCCACCAGAAGCCTACTAGAACTGATCCAAGAATTCAGCCAAGTTGCAGGGTACAAAATCAACGTACAGAAATCGGTTGCATTTTTATACACCAATAATGAAGCAACAGAAAGAGAAATCAAGAAACTGATCCCATTCACAATTGCACAAAAAACCATAAAATACCTCGGAATAAACCTAACCAAGGATACAAGAGATCTGTATGATGAAAACTATAGAAAACTTATGAAGGAAATTGAAGAAGACACAAAGAAATGGAAAAACATTCCATGCTCATGGATAGGAAGAATAAATATAGTTAAGATGTCATTACTACCTAAAGCACTCTACACATTCAATGCAATTCCAATCAAAATTGCACCAGCATACTTCTCAAAACTAGAACAAACTATCCAAAAATTTGTATGGAACCACAAAAGACCCCGAATAGCCAAAGTAATACTGAAAAATAAAACCAAAACGGGAGGTATCACCATCCCAGACTTCAGCCTCTACTACAAAGCTGTCATCCTCAAGACAGTATGGTATTGGCACAAAAACAGACACATAGACCAATGGAACAGAATTGAGAACTCAGAAGTGGACCCAAAAGTATACAGCCAACTGATCTTTGACAAAGCAGGAAAGAATATCCAATGGAAAAAAGACAGCCTTTTTAACAGATGGTGTTGGGAGAACTGGACAGCAACATGCAGAAGAATGAAACTAGATCATTTTCTCACACCATGCACAAAAATCAACTCAAAATGGATAAAGGACCTGAACGTGAGACAGGAAACTATCAACACCCTAGAGGAGAAAGCAGGAAACAACCTCCTTGACCTCCACCGCAGCAACTTCTTACTTGACACATCCCCAAAAGCAAGGGAATCAAGAGCAAAAATAAACTGTTGGGACCTCATCAAGATTAAAAGCTTCTGCACAGCCAAGGAAACAACCCAGAAAATTAATAGGCAACCAACGGAATGGGAAAAGATAGTTGCAAATGACATATCAGATAAAGGGTTAATATCCAGAATCTATAAGGAACTCACCAAACTACACGCCCGAAAAACAAACAACCCAGTGAAGAAATGGGCAGAAGACATGAACAGACACTTCTCCAAAGAGGACATCCAGATGGCCAACAGACACATGAAACGATGCTCAGCATCCCTCCTCATCAGGGAAATACAAATCAAAACCACACTGAGATACCACCTCACGCCAGTCAGAGTGGCTAAAATGAGCAAATCAGAGAACTCTAGATGCTGGCGAGGATGTGGAGAAACGGGCACCCTCTTACACTGTTGGTGGGAATGTAAAGTAGTGCAGCCCCTCTGGAAAACAGTGTGGAGGTTCCTCAGGAAACTAACAATAGAACTTCCCTGTGACCCAGCAAAGCACTGCTAGGAATTTACCCAAGGGATCCAGAAATGCTGATGCACAGGAGCACATGTACCCCAATGTTCATAGCAGCACTCTCCACAATAGCTAAAACATGGAAAGAGCCTAAGTGTTCATCAACGGACGAATGGATCAAGATGTGGTTTATCTATACCATGGATTACTACATGGCAGTGAGAAACAATGAAATCTGGCCGTGTGCAGCAACATGGATGGACCTTGAGGGCGTTATGCTGAGCGAAATAAGTCAGGCAGAGAAGGACAAATATCATATGTTTGCACGTATAGGAGGATTAGGAGGAACTTAACGAAGGACCATGGGGGAGAAGAAGGCGGGAAATGGTGGGGGAAAGGGAGAGAGGCAAACCACGAGAGACTCTTGAATGCTGAGAACAAACTGAGGACTGATGGATGTTGCAGGGGGGAGGGGGGAGATGGGCATGGAGGAGGACACTTGTGGGGATGAGCACTGGGTGTTATATGGAAACCAATTTGGCAATAAACTATTTGTAAAAAAAAAAAAAAAAAAAGAAGAAGAAGAAGAAAGGTTACAATCAGAAAGATTCAATAAAAATTATTCTTGAACATTAAAACAAACAAACAAACAAACAAACAAAAATCTGTGCTTACCTGGCTTTTGTTCATTCCCATTGCTATGCTCAAGAGGCTATGAGTAAGAGTAATAGGAATGTATAGATATTGTTAAGGTGCTCTGTATTTCACATCCACTTCCTTTGTATTACTTACCCACACTGAAAGCTTCCAACTTTAACATATGTGCTCTTGTTTTGGCCCCTTTATGTAATACTTTTTCCTTCCTTTCATTGCGTGCGTGCGTGTGTGCGTGTGTGTGTGTTCTCCTCTCAATTACTTCTAAAAAAATATTTCTTTATTTTGCCATTAACACTTGGACTTGTCATTCCAGAGGTTGGTATTGTTCAAGGATGTGGCCATAGACTTCTCTTAGGAAGAGTGGGAGTGCCTGGACTTGGAACAGAAGGATTTGTATAGAGATGTGATGTTGGAAAACTATAAAAACCTGGTCTCACTGGGTAAGTTTGGTCCCAGTAATTCCACTTCAGTCTTTGTGAAATTAAGGAAATGTTTTAAGTACCTAGCTGAATTTCAGATCCCTGGTCCCAACTAAGTAATTTGTTGCTTATAGACTTTAAAATGGGTAGCTCTGTTGAGTACCTTAATCTTCTCTCTTCTTCAGATATTCTTCCTCTGAATCTTTCTGCAATTGACCTTCTTCCTTTATGAACAATGGGTTCAATTTTATTCTGGATGAACAGAGAATAACCATATCTATTTCCATTCATATAAGCAGGATTTTCCATTTCTAATACAGATGTACTCTCCTTATTAAAGCAAGGAAAAGAGCCCTGGAAGGTTGTACAGGATGTGACAAGAAGTCAGAGCTTAGGTGAGTAAGAGATGGTCAAACAAGGGGAGGCCATTGTGGACAATAGTCAAATTGCTTAATTCATTGGCTACAACTTTGAGATATTAGCTGAGCAGTTCTCCTCAGAGACCAAACCAAGGCCTGTGGAATAAAAGCTTGAACACTGGAAGGAAAAATTGTTTATCATCAGTTACCAAAGGAAACCCCTTCTTACCCCACTTACCACTTCCTTTCTTTTCTTTCATACTCACCTATATTTTCAAACAGGGAAAAGCCCTCCTTCTTCTCCTGTGATAACAGTTGTACCTATGTTTTTGATCCATTGAAACTTGCACGAGTCTTTATCGTACAAGTTTTTTTTTTTTTACATATTTTTATATATTTTTAAAAATATCCTCTATAGTCTTAAGTTTTGAGTGAACAAGAAAGATTCCCTCTCCTCACAGATCTTTCCTAAAAATATCCTCTATAGTCTTAAGTTTTGAGTGAACAAGAAAGATTCCCTCTCCTCACAGATCTTTCCTAGCAGAAGAGAGAGTTACAAATAAGAATGTAGAAGGAAGGAGTGATAAATGTTATGAAGTAAAATAAAAAGCAGGAGGAGAATAATGGAGTAATGGGAAGAGGTGTTTTATAGAGAGTGCTCAGGGATGGCCCTCTGAGGTGCTGACATTTGAGGAGAGAAATGACTAAAGTCCTGAAGTAAGTCATGCTAATCCTGAGAGAAGAGTGTGTAAGGCAGAGGGAGTAGTCCTTGCAAAGG